TCTTTTTTGGAGACAGAGTCTAGCTCTGTCACCCAGGCTGGAGTGCAGTGGCGCGATCTTGGCTCACTGCAGCTTCTGCCTCCCAGGTTCAAGCAATTCTCTTGCCTCAGCCTCCCAAAGTGCTGGGATTACAGGTGTGAGCCACTGCGCCCAGCCGGATTGCTACATTGTTATACACTGAGCTGGGCCAGGCTGGTAGGCAAGAGGCAGTTTGCAGGGCCGTTATTCATGGGGGTCCAGGAGAGAAGAGGAAATAGTAGCAAGTCGCCTTCTGTCTGTGCTGATTCCTTCAGGAAGACCCGACAGAGAGGAGTGAGGGTGGCTGGAAGCAGGCTGGGGGCCACCCTTCTGCAGGAGAGGGTCTGGCTCCTCTGGCAAACCCTGCAGCCCCAGGCAGGCTCCCAGTAGGCATGGGACTAAAGACAGTGGGGAAGCGTGCTTCCCGACGCTGGGAATCTGGTCTGCCTTGGCAAATCCCGGGAAGCCCCACAGCCGTTCTCTGTCACAGTGTCCCTGGGTCACCAGGAACAAGATCCTGGGTTCAGCAAGCCGGGCTTGCTTGCCACCGTGAGGCCAGTGATGCCTTTCCGCTCCAGCCTTGTCTGCAGGGAAGACGGAATGACGAGGTAGGTCCTGAAGTCCCCCAGGGTGGGAGCAGCTTCTGGGCACCCCTTCTTCTGTGGCCACTGCCGCACGTTCTCTGGGTCTTTATCATAAAGAACATTCACCAAGCACTTAGGAACAGGGAGGTGGGGGTGAGTGCCAACTTTAATACAGTAGGGAAGTGAAGAACTTGGTGTAATACGTCATTACTTTGAAAAAGAATCAAGTTTGGTAATTCTGAAAAGTGGCCTTTTTTTTTTTTTTTTTTTTTTTTTTTCCAGATTTGGGCCTAGGCTGGAGTGCAGTGGTGCAATCATAGTTCACTGCAGCCTTGACCACCTGGGCTCAAGAGATCCTCCCACCTCAGCCTCTTAAGTAGCTGGGACCACAGGTGTGCACCACCATGCCTGGCCAATTGAAACAGTTTTTTTGTAGAGATGGGATCTCCCTGTGTTGCCCAAGCAGGCATCAAACTCCTGGGCTCAAGTGATCCTCCTACCTCAACTTCCCAAAGTGCTGGAATTATGAGCGTGAGCCACCATGTCCAGCCACAGAGCTGGCCTTGAACCAGCCTTGAGGCCCCTACGGCCCTTGCTGTTAGCCTTGCCCCATCCTAGCAAGGGGCTCCTGCCCCGCCTCGGTCCCCACCCGGGTGATCTGGGAACAGTGGGCCCTTGGGAAGGGTAGGATGGGCGGCTGGCCTCTCTGACGGGCCCCTCCCTGGGAAGGGAACCACATCCTTTATGAGCTCGGGCAAATCAGGCATCTGAAGTGGAAAAACCCCACACAAATCAAGGACAGCTGGGCCCACCCTCTGGCTGCAGCGGCCTCCCCTTGTTCCCCTCCCAGGAATCCTGACAGGAGGCACAGATTGGGGCAGAGCCGGGTCTCGGGGATGAAGGGTGTGGTTCTCAGGGAGGGAGTTCCTGGAGCTCCTCCTCGCTGTGTGAAATCTACCCCAGCTGTCCCTGGTGGAGGACGGGGCCGCTAATCACTTTCCAGAGTGGGGCGGAGGCTCACAGGCCCTGCCCTTGCCTGTGAGGGCCCAGGCTGGGGGTGCCCACCCTGGGGAGGGGACAGACAGGAAAAGAGGTGGAGAGGGGTGTCGGGGAGGGACACACACACACACACACACACACACACAGAGTCGCTCAACAAACATGAGCTGTCACCCTGGTCAGGCGTGGAGCCACGAAAGGGATGAAGACTGACCCCGTCTCTGCCCTTGTACAGGTCATGGGTAGGTGGAGACAGAAATCAAAATCACCCACAAAGAAATAGTTACAGACTGTGAAAGGGGCACAGATGTAGCCAGGACGCTACATCCTGGATCTGAGGCAGGGCAGGGCCTTCCTCCCAGCCCGGCCTTGCTCCCCAGGACTCCCTGCCTCTTCCCCTCTCCATCCCCTCCTACTCTGGCTCTCCTTGTCGCCTCTCCAAGGGACAATATTTACGAGGCCCAGCAGCTGGGGCAGCACAGCCCATCTCCCTTCCCAGATCCTCTCTTCCCAGTCACTATGTCAGGCTGACCGTCCGCATGTTCGACAGCTGGAGGGTGGACAGACCATCTGCCTGGCTGTCCGGCTTATACAGGGGTCAAGATGAGCTCGGGCAGTGTGGACCCTCAAAACCCCTGGGACCTTGGGAGGTCCGGCTAGGCAGAAGGAACTTGTTGATGTCTGTTTCTTGGCAGAGGAGGACATTCAGAAAGAGAACAGGAGGCGAGGGACCCTCTCAGGGTGCAGGGACAGCCCCCACCCTTTGTCCCTACAGTCTGGTTGCTCAGGTGTCCTGGGACAGAGGGAAAGAAGTTACTGTGTGTGTGAGGAGCATGGAGAAGTTCCTGAAATTATCAGATTTAACCTTCATAAGGCACTCAACACAGAGTCACCATATGGTTGAGCAGTTCCGCTCCTAGGTCTATTCCCTGGAGACATGAAACATATGTCCATCAAAACTGTATACCTGAATGTTCATGGCAGCATTATTCATAAGAACCCCACAGTGGAAACAACCTAGATATCCATCAACGAATGAGGGAATCAACAAAAGGTGGTCCATCCATACGATGGAGCATTACTCAGCCATGAAGAGGAATGAGGCACTGGCACATGCCACAATGTGGATGAACCTGGAGAACATGCTGAGTGAGAGACGCCAGACACAAAAAGATGAACATTGTATGATTCTCTTTCTTTTTTTTTTTCTTTTTAGAGATGGGGTTTCACTCTGTCTCCCCGGCTGGAGTGCAATGGTGCAATTTCAGCTCACTGCAACCTCTGCCTCCTGGGTTCAAGGGATTCTTGTGCCTCAGCCTCCCGAGTAGCTGGGACTACAGGTGTGCATCACCACACCTGGCTAATTTATTATTATTATTATTTGAGATGGAGTTGTGCTCTTATTGCGCAGGCTGGAGTGCAATCGGGTGATCTCGGCTCACCATAACCTCTGCCTCCCGGGTTCAAGCCATTCTCCTTCCTCAGCCTCCCAAGTAGCTGAGACTACAGGCATGCACCACCACACCCGGCTAATTTTTTGTATTTTTAGTAGAGACAGGGTTTCTCCATGTTGATCAGGCTGGTCTCAAACTCCCAACCTCAGGTGATCTGCCCACTTTGGCCTCCCAAAGTGCTGGGATTACAGGCGTGAGCTATGGCGCCTGGCCCACACCTGGCTAATTTATGTATTTTTGGTAGAGACAGGGTTTCACTGTGTTGGCCAGGCTGGTCTCGAACTCCTGACCTGAAGTGATCCACCCGTCTTGGCCTCCCAAAGTGCTGGGATTATAGGCATGAGCCACTGTGCCTGGCCATATTTCTTTCTTTTCTTTTTTTTTTTTTTTTTTAGGGATGGGATCTCACTCTGTTGCCCAGGCTGGAATGCAGTGGTATGATCACAGCTCACTGCAGCCTCGAACTCCTGGGCTTGAGCAATCTTCCCTCCTCAGCCTCCTGAGTAAGCTAGAACTACAGGTGCATACTATCACACTTGATTAGTTTGGAAATTTTCTGTAGAGACTGGTACTCCCTATGTTGCCCAAGCTGGTTTTGAATTCCTCGCCTCTAGTGAACCTCTTGCCTCAGCCTTCCAAAGTGCCGGGACTACTGGTGTGCGCCACTGTGCCTGGCTAAATTTCAAATATTTTGTACAGATGGGGTTCTCACTTTGTTGCCCAGTCTTGAACTCCTGGCTTCAAGCAATGATTCTCTTTCTGTGAAATGTCCAGAATAGGCAAACCCATAGAGACAGAAAGTAGATTCGTGGTTGCCAGGGGCTGGGGGAAGGGGAGAATAGCGCATCATTGCTAATGGACACAGGATTTCTTTTTGGGGTGGTAGAAATGTTCTAAAATTGATTGTGGTGACGATTGCACAACGATGAATATACTGAAAACCATTGATTTGCACGTGGCAAATGGCTGGATTGCATGGGGTGTGAATTACATCACAGTAAAGCTGTTACTCTTCAGAGACTCTTGAGGGTCATGACTGAGGTCTTCATTTTACGAAGAAGGGTCTGGTGGCACAGAAAGAGAACATTGTATGATTCTCTTTCTTTTTTTCCTTTTTAGAGATGGAGTCTCACTCTGTCTCCCCAGCTGCAGTGCAATGGTGCAATTTCAGCTCACTGCAACCTCTGCCTCCCGGGTTCAAGGGATTCTTGTGCCTCAGCCTCCCAAGTAGCTGGGACTACAGGTGTGCACCCCCACACCTGTCTAATTTAGTGCAGCCGAGTGCCAGATAGAGGGAGGGGTCAGCTTCTAGGAGAACCCTCCCAGCCGACTCCTGGTTCTTGCATCTCTCCCTTCCTGCCCCCAGTCCATTCCACATCCTGCTGGTCAGTTCCTCCTGACAAGTCCTTCTGCTCTCAGCAGGGACTAAGGATGAAGCATCCGGCAGGGGGACGGCAGCAGAAAGGCCAGGAGATGGAAATGACCATACAGGGCTGGGCAGGGGGCTGGAGGAGCCACCAAGAACCCAGCGCTGGAATTTCAAATCCTGAGTGGGGACTGCTGAGATCATGGGGACGGCTGAGACCATGGGGACTCCTGAGACGGTGAGGATGGCTGAGATCGTGGGGACTCCTGAGACCATGGGGATGGCTGAGACCGTGAGGACTGCTGAGACCGTGGGGACTGCTGAGACCGTAGGGATGGCTGAGACTGTGGGGGCTGCTGAGACTGTGGGGGCGGCTGAGACCGTGGGGACTCCTGAGACTGTGGGGACTCTGAGACTGTGGGAACTCCTGAGACCATGGGGATGACTGAGACCGTGGGGACTCCTGAGACCGTGGGGACAGCTGAGACCGTGGGGACTGCTGAGATTGTGGGGAATGTTGAGACAATGGGGGCTGCTGAGACCATGGGGACTCCTGAGACTGTGGGGATGGCTGAGACTATGGGGGCTGCTGAGACCGTGGGGACTGCTGAGACCGTGGGGACGACTGAGACCGTGGGGATGGCTGAGACTATGGGGGCTGCTGAGACTATGGGGGCTGCTGAGACTGTGGGGACGGCTGAGACCGTGAGGACTCCTGAGACCGTGGGGATGGCTGAGACCGTGGGGTGGGTGCTGCAGGGTGGGACCCCCGCCCCCACCCCGAGCCAGCCCGTCGGGAACAATGCCATTTCAAGCTAGACCAGAAGAAGAACTTCCTGTGGCCCAGCATGAGCCAGCATGCTCTCCTCACAGCGTGCCCGCTGCCCGCCCATGGGGCTGCTGGGAGGCTTGCCCAGATGAGCAGGTGCAGCCCGCATGTCTGGGGCCCAGGCTGGGGGACTGGTCAGTTGTCTTCACCCCGTCAGCCCCGTGTGGCCGCCTCTGGCCAGGGCTGCTGCTGGGTAGGAGCTCCGGAACGTCTGTGGGTGGTGGAGGCCCTCTACCTCTTGAGGCAGCCCGGCTGCTGGGACTTGTCCAGATGCTGTCAGGGCCCGACCATCTCATTAATGAGCAGAGTCCAGGACAGGGGTTGCAAGCCCTTGGGTGGGAAGAGGCTGGGCCTCTGCGGGGAGCCTGTGCCAGCCTGGCGCCAGCCCTGTGGCCAGGTAGGCTGAGGCAGAGGCGGAGAGAGGACCCGGGTCTCATGCCACCTTTGCCTTGGGATGGCGCAAGTTGCTCGCCCTCTCTGAGCCCGGCTCGCCTCCCCTGCCTTCCCTGCAGGCTGTTGCTGGGCTTTGGGGGTGTGGAGTTCCCGCAGTGTCCAGTGCCCCACAGATCCCAGCCGGGAGGCCCCTGAATCTCACGCCCCTCAGAGGCAGCCCCTGGGGAGGTCCTGAGCTCTTTCTCTTCCCCAGCACAGGGCTCTCTGAGTCCTTCACACCTCCAGTGGGGTCCACTTTGCCACCTTCTGAAATGCATCACTGATGTCTCAGGGGAGTGCCAGGTGGACTAAGGTTGGGCAGATGGGGTGACTTAGTAGACAGAGTATGTCTCAGGCCTGAATTCAGTTCACCGCTGGGCCCCTGGGAGGGAAGCCTGTTTTCTCTGAGCCTGTTGCCTCCATTCTAAAACAGTAACCAGAGGTGACTTGACCTCTCAGCCGGGCTGTGACCCCGATGTGTGGCAAGGCTGACTGTCAGCTGGGAGTGCAGGACGCACGCCATTCCCGGCCGCAGACTCCCCCCACACGTTCTGGGACCCCTCTCTGCATACTAGGGTGCTGGCCTGGCCTCCTTCTCCCTTGGCAGGTCGAGTGCCGAATCGACGCGCTTCCTCGGTCCCCTTGGCCTGGCGATGAGGCTCCGGTTCCTGCAGGCCAAGGCTCGGCCTATGCACCTGCCGCGCACGTCCCGGAGTTGGGGCGGCAGAGGGAATCGGCCTTCAAACAGAGGGTCCCCAGGCCCGCGCGCCGCCCTGTCCCTGCCCTGCGTCCCGAACCGCCACCGCCGCCGCATCC